CCCCTGACTCGCCCACTGCTGCTGCACTGACTAGAGTCCCCCCTCTCACCCCCTCGCCAAGCAGAAGCTCGAACCCGTCGCCGACGCCCAACGCAGGCAGGAGGCTGGACGTTCGGGGCACGAGCCGCGTTCCACTGCTCCGAACATCGGAGGGAAAAAAAACCACAGGGCAGCCTTTCCAGCAGGAACTGCCTTCTCGCCGCAGTGTCTGGAGTTCACAACCCTGGTCATGCAGGAACACCTGTGTCTGCTGGGTTCCATTTCTCTACACCCCCAGTGCGCACTGAGCACTGAACTGATCTGCCTGCCTCTTTCTTCAATCAGTCCTCAGTCCAAATTCCCCTACTTCAAGGGTACTGTTTCCAACAGAACTTCATGCAACCTCTTCTGCCATTGCTAGCTATAACTTCTGACTCAATTCATATTAGTTGATAGGACACGAGTGGGAGTGGCCCTGAATCGGACACGCCCATAGTGAAACATGATCCGGAATCAGACACGCCCATTGTGGGAGTGGCCCTGAATCGGACACGCGCATAGTGACGTGTGATCCGGAATCAGATACATCCACTGTGGGAGTGGCCCTGAATCAGACACGCCCATGGTGACGTGTGATCTGGAATCAGATACGCCCACTGCGGGAGTGGCCCTGAATCGGACAGTTGGTTATCCACAACAAAACAGAATAAGGGCAGTTTTGGAGCTCGGAGGGTTGATACCCATGACAGATCCCATTTGATCCTTTAAGAGGACAAAGCAAATTTACAAATCTGCCCCAAAAAAGAAAATGAAATCAATCAGCCTGCAAGCAAGAATTCAGATGATAAAAAAAACTAATAAACACAGTGTTCTTCCAGGACCAGGGCTGAGAGACTAGATTAGAAATTGTGGAGTTTTAAAACAGAAGATTGACTGGAATATCCAGTAAGCTACCTAAATCAGTCAGTGCAAGCTAATGTAACTTACTAGGGTAAAAAAATAATCTGCAGTACAGATACCCCCCCAACAAATACTCCAATGATTCAGGGTAAAAACAAACAAACCTTAAAAACCAGGACTGCACAAAAACTCAAAATATCATGTTCCATGGTGACAGTCAAGACAGAAAGCAGCATAGCAAAAACCCTAAAGGTCTTTAGCAGCTGAGTTCACTGAAAAGGGTCCGGAGAACTAAGAACATTTTCACTTTAACAGCTTAAAAAGTTTGATTTTTAAAACTATTTATTTTTTCTATTTTAGTTTAGTTCTACCTCATTTGCAGTCATTGTTAAAGCTTTTTAGGGGACAAAAACAAAATCAAGGCAGTTCATTACGCCTTGGGCGTTCTGAATTCTGCGCTGCAGGCCTGGCTGCAGAGTTCTGACCTGGCTCCCGGCCCGACGGCCTGGGCCAGACCCCTGTGTACCCTTCGACACCCTACCAGACCCAGCTGGGTCGGAAAACTTTGTTCGACGCCGCCCGTTCCACAAACTGGACGGCCTGAGCTCCCACAGGGAGGAGGCCGAACGCTGGAATCCCCCCAGGAAGCCTTCAGCTCTCGATGGGGATATCCTGTCTGTCAACGTCAGACCTGCACCTGAGCTCCCTAAAGCATCGAGACCATAGATCAGCTGCCCAGACACGGTCAGCTTCGACCACTACCCAGCTTCCTAATGACAGATCTCAACCCGCTCAGGAATAAAGGGCTGAGAGGGGTCTGTCCCTCATCAAGCAGCTAACACAGTCCATAGCAGAATCACTGGCGCTGCTCTGCACAAGTCCGAGTCCTGCCACTGGACACGAGAGGGGCAGGGGGAGGGTGGGGGTCAGGGGGCGTGGAGATACAGGGAGAGGGCGATAAGTGGTGTTTATAGGAAATAAAAAGGGACACCTGAAAAAAAACAAGGCATGCTCAGCCTACAACCCAGTCGCCAAATGGCATCCTAAAATCCCAGATTGTGCAAGGCAGCTCTGAGAGAACCTCACTGAGACGTACCAAGGGGCCCCACACGTGTGCAGGGACCAGGAGAGAAGAAACAGGAAGCACTGAGCTAGGGGAAGAGCAGAGGTCGGGGCAGAGGTCAGAGGTCAGGTGTCAGAGGTCAGGGGGTCAAGGAGGCCGAGCTAGTGTTGGGCAACAGGACAGTGATGGCCGGAGGAGGCGTCAGTCTTTGTTTCGCCTGCCCAGCAGTCCGGGAGCCCCCGCTTTCACATGATGCCGTTGGTGAGGTACTGGAAGCCGTCGTACAGCTTGGTGGTGATGGAGCGCATGGAGCCATCCACCATCTGCTCCACCAGCAGCTGCAGCTGCTCCTCCGTCAGGTTCATGTGGAAGCGCTCCTTCAGGTTGCGGATGGTGCTGGAGCCATGGAAGCAGGGCAGCTGGGAGCCTGGGGAGGGAGACAGGGGCCGGGGAAGATTAAAGACGGCGATGGCGAGTGTGTGTCACACCCCCCGCGTTGGGAATTCACACTACCCCCACGTGAGAGAGTCCCTAGGTGTAACAGTACCAGCCTCGGGATGTCTTCCATCCCCTCTGCAATTTCACTCTCTAACAATGTGAAGTAACTATTTCCTCTCATGTCTCCTAAAGCACTATGTATCGGCTTCTCCGTCGGTAATGTTTCTCTTCCTTGTTGTGCTGGGCTGTGCCTAGAGCTGGGCAATAATTCGATAACGATAATTATCCCGATATAATTTTCCTCGATATAATTTTAACAAAAGTTCGATAAATGTCCGATATACAGGTTTATGCTTTGCGCATGATATGCGCCTGCGCACAAAATACTGCGCGAGTGCGCGAGTGTGTCGCAGACCGGGCAGCTAACAAATTTGTTTGATGTTTCTGCTGTTTGGCAAGTGTTTGTTGTGTTCTTAAAATAAAGATTTGTTTAATTTACCAATTAACTGTCTGGTTTCTTCAACTTTCACTCAGGAGAAAAAATCTGCCTTTAAACTTGAAAGAAATAATGATCTGACATTTATCGTGATAATTATCGATATCGACGGATATGAAACTTTTTATCGTGATAATGTTTTTGGCCATATCGCCCAGCCCTAGCTGTGCCATAAAACAAATCTACCCCCCAGGGGATAATAAAGCCTGAATTGAATTGACCGCCACTTGGGGGGCTCCTCTTGATCTGGGGGGCCCATCAGCTACTTTACTGCAAAGGCTGATCAGAAAGACAGCGGCTGACCCGCCCTCGTCCTTCTGTGCCAGATGAGAGGCATGAATGTCGAACCAGGTTCAACTGCGTTGACCCAGACATGCATGTCAGAAAGCAACTGATCACGACTTGTCTGACACGATCAGAGGCTTCCTGCAACGCAAAATGAAACGATAACCAGCAGCTTGTCATTTTAGAGCACCTGCTCCATGTTTCTGACCGCTGGCAAGACTGCATCTCCCACGTAAGGTTTCGCATCCGAGCTAGGCTTAATCAATCAAGCAAAGCCTCGTGCACCAGATAAGTGGATGCAAGACTCGATGAGTTGATTCTTGTCCCCTATGGTCTTGACTGCAATATTTTTGCTGCTCTGTGGTATCCAATCAAACACTTTTAGGATAACATGCGTCTGCTTTGCTTTCGATATGTGGGCTGCACTACATTTGAGGTCACAAGATCCAGAGTTAAGTAAATCCCTCAACTTAAAAACACTTCAAACACACACCGGTGCTGATTTATAAAGACTCCTGGAAGAGGGATCTGGAAGACCTCGCACAGTGGGCTGTAGAGGTCAGTACCTTGCTGCATGATCTCCACAATCTGGATGACCTTCTCCATGTGTTTTCTCGCGGCAATCAGGCCCTGTAGCATCAGCATCTTGTAATAGTTGAACATGTCTCCATCGAGGCCACCCATCACCTGTGCAAAAGAGCAACAGGTCAGAGGTCAGAGGTCAAAGGGTACTTGCCAACCCTGAAAGATCAGAGGATTTTTAGAACTGCTTACACTACCCTTACCCAGGCCCAGACTATGAACCAAAACTCTTATCGTGAACCCTCAGCCTAATGATCTATGGCTTCCAGTGGCTGCTCATGTCCACTGCACTCAGTCTCTAAGGGGTCTCTCTCTGCTGCTCCTCCTGGGGCAAGAAGAGTCTCTGACTCACATCCACAAACTCGCTGGTCAGCTTGAAGGCGGACGTCTCGAAGCCCAGGTTGCGCGGGGAGCTGGACAGGATGAAGCCAAAGTCGATGTGAATGATGTGGCCTTCGGAGTCCAGCAGGATGTTGCCGTTGTGCCTGGAGGGGGAGACGACAAGTTGTGAGCGATACGGAGAGACAGGGCCTTCTGGGAGACAGAGAAACTCAGAGAGGGTCAGACAGCAGGGTGGGGACGGACAGAGAAGCCATGAGCCGCGACCTGAGCCAATAGCAATTTGAAACGGAGTGAGAACATGGCGGACGGTTCTCATCGGGGAGATCAGAGGAATTAATATCTTCCCAGAATTTAATAAAAATAATAATAAACTCATAAGCAATAATACTAGTAGTAAGCTTACCACACACCAGCTACCATGACTGGTAAAGGCCAGGGGGAAATTTGGCCAGGACGCCAGGGTAAAACACCTATTCTTTTTGAGAAACACCCTGGGATTTTTAATGACCACAGAGAGTCAGAACCTCAGTTTTATGTCTCATCCACTATACTTTTACAGTATTGTGTCCCCCTCACTGTACTGGGGCATTAGGACTCACTCAGACTGCAGGGTGAGCGCCCCCTACTGGCCCCACTAACACCTCTTCCAGCAGCAGTCTTAGTTTTTCCCAGGAGGTCTCCCATCCAGGTACTGACCAGGCTCACACCTGCTGGGCTCCAGTGGATTGCCAGTTGTGAGCTGCAAGGTAATATGGCTGCTGGCTTATGTACTAACACAGTCATGGTATAGCAGACCAGGGCGAGAAGACCAACCGTGGTCCCAGTCTCATCTCTGTAAGCCTATGGAGGATCTGGTGTTTTGTGTTTGGGTGAACAGCTTATGTGTCCTTAGGTAGACAGTACAGGCTCTTGAGTAGTCAGGGCTCCTTAGTCATTTTTTAAAACATTTTCTATATCATTTGTGATGAAAGGAGCTCCTTCACCTATCCTAAAGACAAGAATGATTCTTTCAGTATGCAATTCCGTGTGCAAATGTCCCCAGGCTGTGTTCCAGAAGCAGGAGTCAACCACGGGAAGCCAAGCCGTGACACACTGTAGGAGCACCTGCGCTCACCTGTCCTTGACCTGCAGCAGGTAGCAGATGAGGCAGTAGCCCGCGCAGCTCTGCACGAAGTTCCTCTGCGCCGTCAGGAAGGCCTCGGTGGTGTAGTTGCCGTGCTCCTGCAGGAAGTAGTCGAGCAGGGACAGCTGGGACTGCTTCTTCACCTGGTGGATGGACACGGCGTTGACCACGGGCTCGATCATGCCGCTGTCCGACGAGATCACCAGGATCTTGTAGGGCTTGATCCACAGAGGCACCCGCTCCTGTTCCCAGATCGACTGGGGGGGGGGGAATCCAGACAGAGGGAGCACAGTCAGGACACGGAGAGGATCAAGACAGGCCGGCAGAAAACAGGAAGCACCTTAACGCACAGGGGAGGCTTGACGTGACCCGAGGTACAGTTGTATGCAAAAGCCTGGTCAAATCGCACGTTTCACTGAAACTCTAAGTGAAAGGAAGTTCACACAACCTCTGCAGTGTGCAGACTTCAACATGACATGTTTCTGCCTATTTTAATGCACAATCACTATTCATCTGCTGAATTTAACAGATTGAAACAATAAAACTGTGAACAGAGTACGTGCAAAAGTTTGAAGTCTGGCAGAAATGACAGCTTCCGGACAGTTTTTGGAGCCCCGATAAGAATCTCTCTATTCCTGCTTCAGTATAGTTTTCCCCCACTCCTCCTCGCCAACTCAGACGTGCCCTTTCTCACCACTGCCTGAACACGCAGCGAGAATGACTGCTCGCGGCCTTCAGAAAACACATTTTTAATTCATAAGGAAAATGCTACAAAATCCTTGAATTTCAAATAAGCACCAATATACAGTAGGGAGTTTTTCCTTGCCGCTGTCACCTTAGGCCTGCTCACTGGGGCTTCAGGCCCGGGAATCTTTCAAGCTGTTTTGTGACCATGTCCATCGTAAAAAGCGCTATACAGATCAAACTGAATTGAACTGAATATACAGCATACACTCCAATGCGCCTAGTAAACATAACTTTGGGGAGCATTGAAGTGTATGCTGTATATTCAGTTCAATTCAGTTTTATCTGTATAGCGCTTTTTACAAGCGCTACACAAGAGAGAGAGAGCTGTGAGCGAGACGATAGAAGTGGTCACATGTGTGAAACATGCACGTTCCACAGAGGACCGGGGGGCGACGATCAGATCCATCAGTTTCCCAGGACAAAGCTGCTGGATGACTGGATGAAGGGGGTGAAAAGGGAAAAACAGCAGCAGCAGCAGCAGTGATGGGAGCACTTTCAGCTGCGCAGCTGTATGAGGGCGCGACTGCGCTGGCAGGTTAGCGAACCTTCGGCTACGGGGGGGGGGGGATGGTCGGGGGTTGCGTACCTGCAGCTGTTTCAGCACCTGGAAGGCCAGCAGCTCCTGCCGCAGGTCGTCCCCACACTTCACGATGACGGACAGCAGGCGCCAGTTGGGCAGGTGGCCATACGGGGAGGCTTCTCTGATCCGCCTGCAGCACAGAGAGGGGCAGAGCGCTAATGTCAGAATGGCCGCTAACAAGAAGACGGCCCATCCAGTTCATTTTTGAGTGGCCAACTGAGTGACGCTTTCAGTGTCAAGGATGCAAGAACCCAGCTTTGACAACATGGCTGGGCAGCCCGGGAAGAGAGAGAAATCTGACTGACCGGCAGTTAAATCTGTTCACCAGCCTAGCCTATCAATATGTGCTCACCCCCATTACATCTCCCAAGTCTAACTTTTCTTTGAATAAAATGAAACAGAAAAAATGACAAATTTTGGAGAATGCACTGGTTATATTGCTGTATTTTAAGATTGTTTGTGTTAAAGATAAAATGACTATAGTATATTTGAACAGCTTTGAACCCGAGCTCAGAAAGCCCCGAACGGGGATAGTGGCTTTTCTCCCAGAATGCTCAGCGCTGCGCCGCCATGCCAGAGATGGTCTCTCGCCTCTCTCTCTCTCTGCCAGCCTGGAGATACTCACCTCACTTTCTCCTGCCAGGGCTCTTTGAGGGCCACAGCCGAGGGGTCCTCGGGGTCTCTCTTGAACGTGGTGGGAGTGTGCGCCAGCTGCTCGGAGAGGCGCCGCCTGGGACACACACACAGAGAGACGGACAGCCCTGTCACACACACCGCCACCAACACCACACTCTCTGTGACCGAGAGAGCTTCCCTAGTGACCACTCAACCACAGCGCCACTCTGAAAAAGACAGGCTATCGTTCTTTACAGGTTTGCGTTCTGCAGGGCAAATGAGGTCGCTCTCCAGGTTTTTATCCCTCTTCCACGTTCTCTGACGCTGCGGGTGCTGGTCGGTGCAGAGCCAGTTTAAGATGGAGCAAGAGAAGTGCAGCTGAAGCTGACCAGGCACTGCTCACACCGTGCTGGAATCATTCTGCTTCTCATCCTATAACAGTAAGGTAGGTGTCTCCAGCGTCCCTGATGGACCTTGTGTCTGACTGTAACACACTGTGCTACACTATAGCTCCAGTTCATCAGATAGTACTGGACGATTACACTGGATTGTAGACGACTACGGTACCAGACTGTGATTCCAGAGAGTACGGGACTGTACAGTCGGGCCCTGGGTACGGGACAGTACGGGACTGTACAGTCGGGCCCTGGGTACGGGACAGTACGGGACTCTGCAGTCGAGCCCTGGGTACTGGACAGTACGGGACTCTGCAGTCGAGCCCATGGTACCCATGATTTTCTTCTGTACTGTAAGGCTGGCTCCAGAATTCCTGATGGTACAGGGTTGTGTCGCTCTGCATGCTGCCTCTTGGAGGTCTGTGGGGGCTCACGCACCTGATGTCTCCAGCCGCAATGAAGACCGGCTCCTTGCTCTCCTGGCTGGTGATGCTGTCCACGGAGAACTGGGAGATGTTGTCACAGCTGTTGGTGTGAATCTCTGGGAGCTGCAATCAAGAGACAAGAGAGCAGAGCTGAGCCACACTACAGGAAGTTCACTGCTGAAGAAACTCTTAACAGGCTTCCATGACTTGCGTAAATAAGGAGCTGGAGTTGCCTATGAAGCCTGCAGGGCTGTGGCTGCCCGGGGCCAGAAAAGAGAAACACTGAGCCAACACATGGTGTTCAGGGCGCCCCCCGGTGGTTCGAGCGTTGACCTCCTGACCTCGACCTGCAGCTCCCCGATGTCGTCCACGGACCAGGCCTCGTCGTCGTTGTCGTAGTTGGGCACGGTGCTGAAGCTGCTGGCGCGCTGCTCGTGCGTGATGCCGCAGTCGGGCAGGTTCTCCACCGAGCGCGTGCTGCGGATGCGGGTCTCTGGGATGCGGGCGGGAACGCCGGACGTCTCGAAGTTCTCGCACTCCAGCACCTCGGCGTAGATCAGGTACGGGGCCTGCGGGTGTGCACGCACACATTATAAACCTCGTTCCAAGAACCCAGGGGTATCGGCTCCCTGCGTTACTGCAGCGCTAGTTAGAGGTTCTGAACTCCCAGCTCTCAACTGCCTCTGTTGGTTTTCACGCCAAATGGGCCCTTAATCACTGGTGCCACTAGTGTCACTAGCTTGTTTTTGTTTTTAATGTTCTCTCATTCCTTATTTCCCATGTCTTCACCACACAGACAGACGCAGAAGTCTCTGCTCAGCTGTGAATTTGCTTCCTTACAAGTGGGAGTGCCACGGTATCACACCACACCCACAGTGGGAGTACCACAGTGTCAGGCCCCGCCCCCATGGTGGGAGTGTCAGTATCAAACCCCGCCCATAGTGGGATTGCCACAATATCAGACCCCGCCCACGATGAGCCTGTTTTTCCTCCTGCTTCAGTACGTTGATATATATTTCAGCTCACACACCTCAATAAGGGCAGTCCTGAAACTTGCAGATTAGCACAGGGTTCATGCCAATAACAAATCTCACTCCACTTTTTGAGAGCTAAAAGTAAAAGTTAAAAAACATTCAACTGAAATCAACAGCCTCTGACTAAGAGCTAGGTTGGATCAGAAAGCAGAAGATACAGAGATCCAAACAGTGGGCCAAGCATTTGGTTTGCAACTGTGCACATGTAGGGGGGGTTATGCACACTCGAGATTTCTGAATTCATGCTATGAATGGCGAGCGAGAGGGCTCTCTTCTGGTATCAGAGCCCGAATGGCTCAAGACAGGGCTCTTTCCTCCTTCTCCGGAAACTGACCACCGCCCCCTTTTCCTTCCCCCCCCCCACCCCACCGCCCACCTTGTCTTTGGAGTTGAGCACCACGGCCTGCGTGTGGGGCACCCGGACCACGTGGTGGTCGAAGCCGGCGGTGGGCAGCCAGACGCGGGCGGGCAGCTTGTGGTTGAGCAGGGAGAGCTCGGAGATCAGCCGCTGGGTCTTCTGCTCCTTGGTGGGCAGCGTGGCCAGCCGCTTCCCGATGCCCATCAGGGACTTGATGAACTCCCGCTGCGGGGTCAGGCGCACGGGCTGGCAGGGAGACACGGAGGGGGGGGGGCGGGGGGAGACGTCAGCCCGGCAAGGGGACGTTGGACAGCAGGCGAGAGACAGAGAGAGAGGACGGGAAGACGGAGCAGATCGGAGCCCGTGGAGCCAACGAGAGCCGAGACAGTCACAAGCGAGGGGAAGAGGGAGAAAAGGAGCTTGATGCCTTAAAAAAAAAATCATTACGCCTTCGGTGTGGCTTGCTGTTAAAAAAAACCCCAGAGGCCGAAATTACCAGCCTCGGCAAACATCACCCTTTCCAACCTTTACAGATCACTCTCCCCCAGCACAGAGGCCCAGCCTCCCTGTAGCAGGTCAGGCTCGCAGAAGGAGCCACCCCCATACCACCACGCGCCCGGAAAGAGGAAGAGAAGGTTCAGTTTGCCCCGTCTGCTCGGCCCCCCCCTGCGAAAAGGCCTCCATCCATTTTCTAACTGATCGATCCAATTCAGGGTGGCAGGGGAGGCAGGAGTCAATCCCAGCAACCAATGGGCACAAAACCGTGCACGCCCTGCACGGGACACCAGTCCATCGCAGGACACATACACTCACCAGGGCCAGTTCTTATGTACCAAAGCCTCTCCTTGTCAGTACACAAGCAGGGGTCCCAGTCCCAGCCCCGTAAGCCTGTGACGGATCTGGATGTATGTTTTACATTGGGTTGCAGAGCTTAGCGATCTACTACCTGTAGGTAGACAGTACTGCTTCTTGAGCAGTCAGGGCTCCTACGTTGTTTCTGGACAGCTTCTGATGAAAGGAACCTAATCAACTATTTTCTAACCACTTCCTTCAAAAGAATTCCGGTCACATGCATGCCAGAGACTATCAGAGCCAGAGCCAGGACACATCCTAGACAGGACCCCAGTCCATCACAGAAGAGACATGCAATCACTCACACACACACACAGACCAGGGCCAATTATCCCAGAAGCCAATTAACCACCAGCATGGCTTTGGAGTGTGGGACGAAACTGGAGAACCACGTGAACCCAGGGAAACATGCAAACTCCACCCTGACAGCACCCCAGGAATTGAACCCAGCTCTGCAAGGCAGTGATGCTCCCCGCTGCGCCACCCTGCCGCATCAACCATTCCAGCACTGTCCACACGCTGGCCCTACATCGCATTCCTCCTGCTACTGTCCCCTTGCGGGGCTGGGCTGGGTGCACCAACTTCCCAACAGGCCACTGCTCCCAATGCTCCAGTGGGAAAACCGTGACCTTGGACAGGTTTGGCTCCCTCACTGTGCCTCATGGCCTTTAAGCCGACGTCCTTAACGTGTGCCGCTGGAGCCAAGACAAGATTTTCCACATGTAGCAGGGGGCCCACGCCTGCTTGAAACCACCCCACCCCTCGAACAGCACACACAGGGACACGGACACAGAGAGACGCACAGAGAACCCGCATGGGGAGGGAGAGGAAGACTGCCAAACCACCCGACAGGAGAGAAGGAAACGCACAGAAGCGTCTCCTTCAGGAGTTGAGTTCACCCGTTACAGAACATCACGTCCACGAGCGCAGGGGCTAGTATCGGGACAGCCCCGGAAAGACAGAGCTGTCGTTTCGGTGGTGCCCACAGTACAGACAAGACATGCCTGACTCTGGCAGTCGTGAATGAGCAGGAACAGAAAAAAAATTCAATTCACAGGGAAGAGCTTCTCTCCTAAAAGCAGGCTCTTCAAGACTTGTCCTCACTGTGGACTGAAATCCTGAAGTGGGCTTTGGACATTTTCAACTGGATTGCTTTACAGCAATTTATTACTTTATTACATATGGATGTCTCTCTGCACCTCGCAGCTCATAGAACCTGCTGATCTTGCAGCTCTAAATGTCTTAATTGATTCAATTAATGCTTTGATTGCAGCTGTTAGTAAGACTTCTGAATGGAGTCTGCCCTGCCCAGGGCTGGTTCAGGAATGGGGGAAGAGCACATTGAGCAGATCAGGACAGTCCAATCGAGATGTTTGCAAGACATCTGGAGGAACGAAAAGAAAACACTTTCATAGCCTGATTTTGGGAGATTAGATCAGAAAAAAAGTCTTTCATCTTGAATCCTGCAGATCTATTGAATACTGCTGGAAAAAAACAACTACGACAGACAGAAATGGAGGTCACTACAGTTAAGCTGTTTTCTTCCTCTTAAAAGACCACAAAGAATGAGATCTGTTCAAAGATCCAGCCAGTGATCACCAGCACGGCAAAGCACAGTTCCCATATTGTACACCAAAAAAACAGATATCCTTAATGTTTATATCGGCCTTATTTATGAACTAGTTTCAAGAGCAGTGACGCACAGAAACTGTGCTTTCCCTCATGTGGTGCACTCAAGACTTGAGCTGGAGTGGAGAGAGAGCCAATGAGATATCCCACAGGTCAGGTCTTACTGTGTTCATAGGGATGGGGATGCAGTACCGCCAAAGGGACTCCAGGGGGAGCTGTTGAAATACCATTCAAAAAACATCATCAAGAGCCGAGTGACGTTTTCCATCCTGCTAAGAAAACACAAGGTTTCCACAGTCCTACAGACCCGTCTTTTGACGGATCAGCAGATTCTCTTTATCAATTATCAACAGAATCATGAGCCCTATGGTTGTCCGACTTGACAACAGAAACCACCAGTGATTCCATATCCCAAAAACCACCGTGTCCCAGGAAGGTTGAATAGAGGAAGCGATGGGGTCAGAGGAGGAAGACAAGAGCCCGCTAACTAGCCAAGCGCCTGCCGAGTCAGTGGGCGTTTTCTTTGGCTCTTGGAATCTTAGAATCTCCTGCAGATGCAGGACTTTTTCAGCTCCTCCCCCCTGAAGATCCTGGCATGCCAAGCTCGTTAACATGACTAATTAACAGTTACACGCCATCACCAAAGAGTTAGAGGTACCACACACCAGCAGGGGAAAACCAGTCTAGTCCTACAGCACTGGGCTGCAGTTTCATTGGAGAAGCATGCTAGGGGTTATTTTAAATTATCCAGCCCCCGTCTGAAAGAGAACAGCTGTGGATCAGAAGCCAGGGTCTGTGGTCAGCTCTCAATGCATCGCTTTAACTCCGGTCATTCATCCTGGCTGCTGCCTGGCTCAGCCCTAAAGACCTCCGCCCACACCCCCACGCCGCCTGTACCTCCGTACTCATAGCGGGGTTTGCAGGGGGCACTGGCTTCTCCCTCCAAAGGCATGCAGGTTAGACTGGGATTGGCTGATACTCAGCCAGTAAAAGCACCTGCACCACAGGGGTACGGACCACAGGCAGGGCTGATGCTTGAGATCCCAGAAACTCGTGCTCCTGGAGGTCAGCATGCTTCTGTCTCGGCTGTCCGCGTTCCCCTTTGAGTCTTTGCTTGTGAGGCTAAATTTGGCTTTCAGGACTTCATCAGCAAATCATCTCAACACCTTTTTGAATATCTGTCTAACTACCCTCAGCACCCTTCATCACTCTGGTCAAGCGGAAAAACTGCATTTCGGAATGCCACTAACCTGAAAAGCCAGTCTGTAAAGGTAAGAAGAACGAAGACTGCTAAGCAATCTCAACCAGCCTTGGTTAACTACACTTAAATGAACGTAATTAAAAAATGTTTCTTAAGCCTCATCGACTATTAGATTATGTTAAACTATTTCAATTTAACAGGCCAGTTTTGCAAGCTCTTTGGCAAAACACTATAAACCCTACCTTCGGTTTAAGCGATTACAAGGAACAACAGCAGTGCAGAAATGTTACAGGAATCCACTGTGTTTCATATGTGGCTCCAACGTGTTAATAACCTTTGACCCCTCCGTGAACCCCTGAGAACTGAGGGGACAGAAGCACCCGCATGAGCGACTCGAGAGCTGGAAGGAGGGACAGAGGTCGGCCCAGCGGCAAAGGGAATTGTCCTGGAAGCATCTCGTCGCCGTCCGCCACCGGCCAAACCACTTCCAGGTATCATTTCATCTGCTGGTCCCGAGCGGAATGAGGTGCAGTCACAGGCCACACAGGGCAGGGCTGGGCTGCTGGGCGTAACGCAGCTGTCAGGGCTAGGTCTGGAACCGAGGACTAAACACACAACCCCCAGTTTCACAGCATCTTAAAACAGGCCTTTCCAGCCTGGCTGGTAGAAAGAGAAATGTACCTTTTCAGGTTACCCATTTCTCTGGATCTCATTTTCTCGTATCACGTATTCATTTCAATGCAGATTGTTATGTACTATCTCTTCTGATTGCCAATTTTGTTTTATGAATTATGTTCCTATACCATCAATTAACTCACTGATAATTTATCGGAATGAAATTGTCAAGTATTGCGAATGTATTGCGAATTTGTCTCCATAAATAAAACCTGATTTGAGCTGAGACAGGGGGGTTTCCTGCTTCGGTCCCTGGAAGCTGGAACGTGGAAAGATTAAACTCCCCTTTGAACCAGGAGCAGTAATGTGTACAGAAGGGGGACAAACTGGGGCGATGAACGCTAAACTCATCCCTTTTTTACGAAGCAGATATTTAAACAGACCTAAAAAACTGGGTTATGGTCAAGATCGGGGCAGAAAGCAAGCGAGGACCCAATTTGAGCTAATAAAAACACAGAGCACATCTGGGCACTGCCAGCACTGAGCTGAATCAAGCTTTAGGAAGCAGGGAAAAGGAATCATACCCCTGCCACCTCATCAGCTGTGCGTTTACTTACGGAAAAACGAAGGAAAATAAAGGAGGGAAGGACAGGAGTCAACCAGCCACCCCCTGATCAGTCCAACAACAAGGCCAGGATAACAAAGGCTCTGAACTTACTGTACCAATCTCTGAGTCAATGCTCTCAGTGCTGGAGTCCACTCCCTGGGAAACGGAGAGGGTTAGGGGTTCAGGGGGGAGGGGAGACAGAAAGACAGGGATGAATTCAAACTCCTGAAAGGCTACAGACAAAGTCAACCCAGCGGACATCTTCAGGATTGACTGTGAAACACAAACTAGAGCGGAAACATAGGGGGAACACATATTAGGACTTGGATGAGCAGGCAGTTCTGTACACAAAGGGTAGCGGGAGTCTGGAACGAACACCGTTGAGGCCGATATCCAGGCTCCCAGCTCAACAACGGGCCGAGAGGCTGGGATTCATCTGCAGCTGTCAGCCAAGCAGGACAGAGGGACCCGATGGGACTCCTTCTGTTATGATCATTTTTACAGAAAGAGCTATGAAGACAAAAAAAAACAAACCTGCTACCTCCGTGAGACTCATGCCTCGGGCCTTTAAAAAAAAAAAAAAAGCTGTCCGAATACAGACTATCCCTCGATCGGCTCAAGTAAACTATTCCTGCATAATCAGTTTAACCTGGGACAGAACGGTTTTACGCCTTCTCCACCTTCAACAACCTTATGACCTCCTGCTTATCACCATGAACTGAAGTTAAAAATCGCTGCTCAGGTTGTTTTTTTTAATTCACCCAACTAAACCCAGCTCCAAGCGCTCATTCTGGGTGCCCAAAGCTGATCAGAAGCAGGGTGCGTGCCTAACGAAGCAATCCGAGCCGCCCTCCCCTGTACGCCATTCCCCCTAATCTGGCAGCTCATCTCCTGGCCCAGATCTCCTCGCTAATCCTCGTTAGTCCCGCCCGTGCCCCGACCTCAGCGCGGCTATTTCTGTTCCCGCTGCTCCGTCTGGGGGTTTCCCGTCACGCCTGGCTGGGGGCAGCGTTCGGGTTCGGCTGCTCCGCGGTCTGGGATTGTAAAAAGCAATTAAGCATATC